GAAAGAAAGAAAGAAAGAAAGAAAGAAAGAAAGAAAGAAAGAAAGAAAGAAAGAAAGAAAGAAAGAAAGAAAGAAAGAAAGAAATCCTGGATGGCACGAAAACTTAAAACTTTAAACTCTAATCTTAATGTGCAACAATTTTGTTTCACCATTGCAACACATTTATTCTAGTTTTATTTACTTTATCAAACTTTAAAAAATGTCTGCATCCAAAGTTATTTCTCCTCATGCGTCAAAATCCCCTTTTCTAACCCGCAAAAACACACAAAAAAAAACATATCAAATACATTCAGAGTCCAGAAGTGTCTGAAATATGACCGAATCAGGCCTGACAGGCAAAGGTTAAACCATAAAATGTTTTCAGCTTGTCAGCCTTTCAATTAAACTAATTGCGCGCCGCAGGAACGACCCAAACGGCTCSGCTCGGTTTTTTTCTGCTAATTAGACCCAACATTTAACAGAGCTCGGTGACAACAGGTCGACTCGGCCCTGATGCTTAAAGGTAATTGTTAAAAGGAGGGCAAATAATGCGCCACTATTCAAACGGGACTCACAAAAGAGCGCATATGGCGAGGAGAAGGCGAGAGGTGCGCGTGTTCAGCTCCGCGGGCCCGCCGCGCATCTCCAATCGTGTGACAATTGCCGTGGAAAACACTCCTGGTGGAAGGCAATTTCACAAATAATTTTAGCAACAATTAGGAAGTGTGGAGGGGTGAAATGGCGATTTTACATGCAGATGCGCCGGTGGGAAGGATGTACCCTGCCGAATGGCTGTGACCCTCGCACCCCCTCTTTGGTTCGCCTCACATGGGGACGGAGGAGCACAAAGACTGCGCCTCAACCTCCCGGGAAGGCTGCAGAGAGAGCCGGATTAAGTCGAGCATCAATCATGTGGAATCCAATTTTTTTCTCCAGGAAAATAAAAAGAAAGAAAGAAAGGMAGGGAAAAAAAATACTGCGCAAATGTTGTGGATCTCAACAGGTTTGCACGCAAATATGAAGCCTTTAATATTCCTAAAAACATCATTGGTTCAGCCCCATCAGCTCATCATTACAAGCCTGATATCCATTTGGATGCATCTGTTTAGAATTACACCCCCCATTAAAGACAAGCATGAGAAGTGTGCAGAAAAAAGGAGCATTCGGGTGAATTTAAGGGATGCAGGACAAACATTATGACACGGGTGGGTTTTATCATTATTAGGCAAATAAAATATAAATATTTGTYTATGAAGATGTGTTTGGTGATTTTGTCTCTAAAGGGGCCACAACATCTAATAAATGCAAACAAAAAATCTCTCAAACTGAATGCAAAGAAAGTTGAAAAGTGATGAAAGCCTCATGAAAATAAATGTTATATTTTTTTTTTACCAATCAATACATGTTAAAAAGAGATGTCAAATCTTTTATTTTTTTAGTTTTTAAAATGTAAAACTACATTTTTAACATCAATCGATAAATAGAGCTATTCTGTTTTATTCTATTCTACACAGTCAAACATGATACAAGACTTTGTTACAGTTAAAGTTGTAAAACAGTTTGTTCCGCAGCATTCCCTTCAGAGTCCAGTTGTCTGTCAGGAGCTGCAGCAGACAGAACAGCTCCTGCCTCACATGATCCTGTTTCCAATCTTATCTTGATCAGGCTGGCTCTTCAAACACTTCCCTGCATATAGCCTCTCATTATTTGTGTTATGGCAATTACCTGAGTTTCATTTGTCTTTTCTTTTTCTTTCTTAATGTGCACACTGCACCCTCTTTTTAGCATAAGAAACACAAAGAAGAAAACATCTTTGAAARGAGACATTATGAACTAAATCAACATTTGACAAAAGGTGTAAAGTTRTTTCTTTTTTTTTTTTCAATCTCGCATAAGGATGTTTTAAACTGTCACATATACTTTGGTGTTGTGGTTGCAAAKAATTAAATGCAACTGAAAGATGTCTAAAATGTTTTTTTGCATTAAATACACCCCTTTATTAAGAGCACTAAGCTTCTTTTCTAAGCTGTGGTTCATTCGAAAGAAGAGGATTGACAAAATCTGTAAAACGTTTGGCCTCTAATTCAAACTTATGCTCAGAACAGAAGCAAAAACAATTATTTTTTTTCCTGAACCTTGTTCCCCCATGTCTTGTGCCTAACATTTAGCACTTTTTTGTGGAAATTACAGATGGTTGAAAAAAATCGATCTTAAATCTCTAAGGGCGGTCAGCACATGAATCAGCTGCTTTCCTCTCCAGTGATGGTTGTTCTCTCTCGTGTTGTGCTTTTAAAGCCTTTCATGCAGAATCTGCAGGCATTAGAAACAGATGTCTTTATGGCGAGCCCGAGATCTGAACGTGTTCGGAGCACGAAACCAAAAAATATTGACCGTATTTTTATTACCATCCCACATTGCTTGGTGTTTCACCTTCAGATCAGAGAAACGCGGGACGGTTTGTAGTTTCAACAGCAGCAGCTTGCTAACGCGGCGAGACATTTTCACACGTGCTAAGAATTACAAATGTGTAATTACCTCCTTACGCCAATTATTTTATCAGGAGGCAGCGTATGTACACATTTGGYGATTAAAAGCCACCTGAACTGACACAAAGCTTGATTTGAGATACTCATCAGATCCTGTGTGGCACAGGAAGGAGCTCTACTGTTGCTCCTGACAGGCTGAGGTTTGGTTAACAAGGAGAGCAAGGATTCAAGAATTCTTCACACTCATTTGGAACAAGTTAGCCGACATTTGAACCCTCGCTGACACTTCACTCTTCAGCCTCCTGGCTTCACACATGTGCAGGAAACACAAATGGGAAGTAAGAGAAAGAGAGAGAAAGAGGTGAAGGCAATTGGTTTGGAAAATGTTATAGATTCTCTAAAGAACAACAGAGAAACCCCCACTCTGGACAGCCGTGAAGATTATACGCAGCATGGAGGCCTCTGAGGATTTTTGAATCTTTTTTTTAAATCCTCTTTTAAGAAAGACCAACTCCCAACCTGAAGATAAAGAAAATTTAAACACCAGGGACAAGAATAAAATGTTCTGTTCTTATAATAATAGTAATAAAAAACAGTCTAACCTCTCTTTTAAAAAAAAGAAAAAAAGATGGAAGAATAACGTTCCTAAGCATGACCTACAGATTGACTAAAATCCAGTCTGTTCTCATGAGAAATTGTGAAATAGGCACAAAATAAAAATCCTACTCAAGACGGAAGGAGGGAAAATGTTTTTTTTTATTTTTCCACGACACTCTGTTTGACTTTCAGGCCTGAACCAGGTTTGCGTTTCGAGCAAGATATAGGTCTGGACTTATCAGCTCTAGACAAAGAGGATTTCTAAAATCTGTGAAACGGCTATTTTTAAGGCTGGCAAAGATCTTCAACWGRGAAAGGAGCGAATGCAAACGGAAACTAAGATGAGGTTTAAATTGAAACAAAGTGTGAAAAGCGTGGGGTTGGTACAGAGGGTCTCATGCATGACAGTCATGTGTGGAACAACTCTAAGACACCTCCTAAAAGAGACTTGGTTCACTCCGAGAAACAAGTAGATGCTTCTTTTTTAAGTGCTTCACAAGACTGAGGAAGACTGTGTTCCAAAGTTAAGGGTTTTTTTTATGGCTGTCGTGTTAAAAAGTAGAAAGTTGTGCCCTAAAACTTATTTTGATTTGTGACACTTTTACCGAACATCATGTTTGCTCAGTGTTAAAAACCTTATAAACCTGTAACAAGTCTGCATTTTAGTGTTACCATCAAATGTCAGCTCATGAAGGTCTCTTGAATTCAAGTTCCTTCAACRCTGCACTCCTTTTGTGAAGAAATGTTAAAGCTGTTCCTAAAAATGGAAAATGGTATTGTCTTGTTCTAAACCTTGCCTCATACAACTCATCTAAATCACAATTTCTCTTTGTTGAATTTTGAGACATTTTAAATCAAGAAAAAAATGTTGCTGCTGCAGAGCTAAGGACAACCTATAAACTTGGTCATTCCTGCTCACACAATGTGTTAAAGTGGAGCGGGACAGAAACAGCACACATTAGGGTTGACGTCTGAGTTACGAGTCGTGTAGAAATCTAAAACTCAAACACACTTACAGGCCTTTTTTAAAAAAAAGAGACAGCTCTCTCTGGATTTGCGAAGAGATCAGAGGACCGGACAGGGACGTGGGAGGCGTAGAGAACGGTAAAACTTTGGRGAAAAGAAAAAAATTTTTAAAAAGCACTGTTATGTTTGGCCAAGTGACAAGAAGGTGAATGTTGTCCCTTTTTCTTGCGGTTACGTCAGCCGGAACGAGGTTTGCGGGTGACATGTCACCAACAGGCGGACTCAGCTGGATGGGTGCAGGTGGGTACAGGGGTGGAAAGCATGGTGGCTGGGGTTTGATTTGCGTCAGAGTGGGTGACATCTTGTCACTGCTCATTAAAGTGTGAATTCAGTTTATCCTTAGTAGCACCTCCTCTTGGCAGGAGTGCTACAAACTCGTGACTCTGTAGATTTGGGGTCTGAAAACGAAAAGATGGGAATTTCAAACCTAGCTTCGGAATGGAAGTACACTAACAGGCAGAAAACACAATTCTCTGATTGTGACTGGTTTCTCCTRACTGTCTCAGGAAGTGAAACAGTTCTTCATCTCGCTGAAACAAAAA